GAGCCAAAGAAGATAATGAAGAAGGTGAACGCAGTGCGATTCTGGAACGTGAGGAACACATAGGAAAACGTGAATATCTTGAAAGACTCCGAGAAATGAGCCCATCAGAATATCCCGGTTCCAGTTCCAGTAGCATGCGTGCCGATCCCCGAGAGATTTATGCCAAAGATGTTATTTTGCCCGATCAGGTAAATGGAACAAATACCGCCTGGAGACGACGTAGTAGGGGCCGGAGTAGTTCCACCAGGTTTAAAAACACGACTACAATCAATTATCACACAATCAACTGCTGAAGGTGGTCCCCCAAAATGGAATGGGATTAATACTTGGCAGAAACCATCACATTCACCGCCGGGTGTCTACGACAACACAAGCAGCAGCGATCTAGCATCATTAAGACGTCTCACAGTGGGAAAAAATGCAGATCTAGCGCGCAGAAAATCAAAGTAGATGTTTTACTGTATGTTTATCGATATTTTGGATAAGAATAGATTTAGATGGACAATTTTAAGTATTTTATGAAAAAATTTGGCAATTTTTTTTTTATTAACCCATTAAGCGCCGATTTTTTTTTAGAAAAAGCTTAAATTTTTAGGTGAAAATTACTATTTTGAGGCAATTGAAATATTTTATAATAAGCAATATTTTTCGTTATAACTAATAGTACTCCTAGAATGGAAGCTTCTTTTAAAAATTCGGAAACATTTGGAGGGTAAAAAGTGGGTTAAGGCCAAACACTATTGTTATTATATATATCTTTATTATTGTAAATATTACATATCTAAAACATTAAACTATATATTTTTTACAAAATTTAGGCGTTACTTATTAAATACTAATCACATTCAGAATCCGAGTTTTGATCTGAATTAGTTGGTAGCATTGGATCCTCCAGTAGTTTAAGGACTTCTTCAGATAGTGGCTCACTATATCGATGGCTAAGAGATGTACTACGAGACAAACATGATATTTTTGGATCAGAAGAAAATAGCAACCTATTAAAAAGATCCCTCATTGTTTCCTCACGACTAATTTTTCTGGTGTACAGTTCCCTGTAGTTCCGAAAGTCCTTATTTCTGGATTCCATGGCTTCTTCAGACAACATTCCTATGGGCAAAGCTGCACATTTGATTATATCAGCTCCATGCACTAATATTTTGTGTATGCTTGAAGGCATATAGAACCAAGAATATAATTCCACGAAAAGAATAAATATTTCCTCAGTAAGTCTATTTAATATATATTCTTTTACATCAGAACCATGTTTAGATTTTATCCAAACTTCAAAGAGCTCTCTGTACAAAATTGACATTTTTCCACTTCACTTGTTTAAGAACTAAAATAAATCGCTATTCACTTGTTTATAACTTGTATAATCCCGTTCTTTGACACTTATTGAATGAGAAAAATCTATGAATGAACATTTGTTAAATGCGGATTTTTCATTCATAGGTAGAAAAATCTATAAATAATATGTATTTTTGCATTCATTCGTAACTGATACCTGTATCCGACCCTAACGAAATTCGCATGACAAAGTCATAAAGTCATCCGAAGTCATGTCAGTCATTGGAAACCCCATAACAGGTATAATAAAAGTCCATAAACTCCACCTCCACGAAAATCATAAATATAGGTAAAACAGTGTATATATGAATGTTACACCAATGATATTTTTCCATGGTTCATAAAGTGGACCCTTTACCTGCGGTATTTTAAAAGACTCTTACAACCGATTTCGTTGTAATTTTAATTTTCATTTAGAAAGACATTTGGAATAAATGTATATTCAGTGCATGAGTTTAAAATCAACGTTTGGAGCAGCTTACTTAAATCCCTCATTTTCATACTCACACCCAGTACTCTTGAACCTTAGGATGGACATTTTGAACTTGTTTTTTTTCTTATCTGCTATGCTGTGATCTATTCCAAGTCATATTTGATGAATTATATCAAAAAAATTCACAAATTTTTAATTTTATTTGAACAAAACCTTAAAAAAGCTTCCTACACAAAATTGGCATTTTTTCAAAAAATTGTCATAAATCCGAGAATCGCAGGAAGTCGCAGGAAAAAATTTAGTATGATGTTCTAGACAGACACACAAGAAAAATAAAACAAAAATCAAAGCTGAACTCGACTGCACTCCATACTAAACCCCTATTTTAATTGAAGGAATTAAAAAAAACGGGCCTTACATATATTTAGCCCGAAACACCTAAATTAAAATAACTTATGGGTTATATAACTATACCATTTAATTAAATACCAATACTATATATCAAAAATGGACAAAATTTTATAATAATATATTCACAGAATGCACACGACCATCGCAATTTTATAGCAAAAAAATGCCATTTTTAACATTGGAAAATTTTTCTGTTTTAAATGTACCGTTATTCCGTTCTAGCTTATTAATTCGGATTATTTTATACGGACTTAAGTACTCTCAACACTCTACTTTAAAACTGCATTAATGTTTTAAAGTTTCCTTCAACTTCATTTTTTGATTTTCTGCGCGCTAGATCGGTATTTTTTCCCACTGTGCGTCTCCTAAAGCAAAACGGTAGATGGAAGAAAGTGAAGATGAAGACAGTCTGCCGATACCTGCAGAGATATGGGAAATTGCAGCCAATTTAACAGTGACTGAAGGACCAGCTGTAGGAGGCACCTGATCATGGAAATAGCCAAGAATACAGTCCACTACAAAGCAGCGCATCATTTTTATAATTTTTATTTAAAGTAATATTTCGGGTAGAATAATATAACATGTACAACAATTAATTTTTAAGAAACATTGTAACAAAGACACATCAACCTTATATCAGCAATCAGTGCCCACAGGCATGGCATATATAGAATAAATTATTTTTGCCGCCCGGGAGAATGTTCATAAAAATATGAACATGATATTTGGTTAGGTTAGTTTAGGATGTTTTAGATATTTACATATGTCATAAATAGTAGATAAGCAGTCATAAAATCTATTTGTGTGTGCATGTATGCACATAAGGGATGATAACACTCCACGCTGCTGAAGACGCATAGCTAATAAAGGATATCTCCATAAACATGCGCTCAGCGGGTTAGTAAATAGAGATCACTTCAATGTGGGTTTCTGTGTGTGTGAGCTGATCATGAAGAATTAATAGCAGCCCACACACAAGGATATTGGTGCGCTCATTTGGTAATGTAAACAAATTAGCATATGTTATCTCTTATGTGTATTAGGCTAAGTTAGATTAGGTTAGATAGTTCTTAAGGAATAATTTTAAATAATAAAGTTAGAATTGAAATGACATTCGACATTAAAAGTCCTCTGTATTTTCCTTTCTCCCGCGTTAACACAGATGAATAAACTTATAACCTCAATTGTAAATATGAACAAAAAGTTAGTGATTGAAAAAATATTTTTCGATAAAACGTTTAATCAATATGAAACATTTTTTATCAGCTAAAAAGAAAATAATTTGATAAACAAGATTGTCAATATGAACAATATTTTATCGATTAACAAAATAAAATTCAACAAAATTTTTAGTATATATGAGAATTGCTTTATCAAAATAATTTCGAATGGGATTACAATTTTTTTATCGGCGATTGTAAGTATGAACATTATTTTTATCGGCGAAAAATCTATCAAATTTTAATTGGATTTTTGAATTTTTTTTATCAAATGGTTACAATTTTTTTTCTGTGTAGCTATATTCCACAAACCGACTCATTAAACGTAATTAAGGAATCTATTATTAAAATATAGTCTAGTATTAGTTGCCAGATACGTATTATGTTTAATTTTATATGTTTATTTCACCAGCTTATTTGCATGCAGCTGGTATTCTCACTGTTTACTAACCCGCCATTGGCCGGTCGATGTTGTGAACGCGATCCCGACGTAAGGGAGGTCGCCCTCTCGGTCGGTTGGGGCGGGTGTGTGTGGCGTGGGAACGAGCGAAAAAAAATACGTAACTCAATGATTCATAGGTTATAAGAATTGGTTTAGTTTTATATGATTTAAAAAGAAATTTCAAAGTGGTGTGACCTATTAAGGAAAAGCAAGGGTTCATTCATTTCTGCTACAGAAATTTTTGGGAAAACAATGCTTTTATTTAAACATTTTACTTTCAGGAGATATATTCGTATAAGAAATAGATTTCTTATATGCGTATGTACTCTTATAAGAAACAACTTTCTTTTATCTGATAATTCCATATAAGGAAAAAACGCATATAAGAAATCTCTGACTTTTTTTGAATTTCTTATATCCGATATCTACTGTAGTACTTTTCGTACTCATAAGTATAAATTTGCTAAACTACCTCAATCCTACTTTCAGATAGTAATCGTAAGTTCAAATCTTAGAATTCTCTATCTGTTCACTAAAATCCAAATTGTACCACATTTGGTAACCTTCTGTACTTTTCCTACCCATTTTCCAAAACTACCTCAATCCTACACTCCGACAGTAATCTTAGTTGCAACTTTTAGTATTTCAGTTCTACGCGTTCGTCAACGTCCAAATTGTACCAAATTTAGTACTTTTCTGACCAATAAGTACGAATTTCCAAAACTACCTCAGTCATGCACTCCAATAATAATCTGAAGTCTAAATTTAAAGATTCCAGCTCTATTCGTTCACCAACACCCAAAATGTACCAAATTTAGTACCATTTATAACATTTATTTAGTACCATTTAGGACATGTTGTGCCCATATGTACGAATTTCCTAAAATACCTCAATCATGGTTCTTTTTTTCGTACCCTTCTAGTTCGAATTTTCAAAAACACAGTCTTATCTCATGCCTACATACCAATAACAACCCACACTGAAGTAAATTTCAAGCTTCTAGCTTCAGCCGTTTTGTCTGGACGATGATCTGTCAGTCACTCACTTAACACTAAGCTGTTTTATATATTAAGAAGATATATTACAAAATTCAAACGATTTAACACACATAAATAACATTAATAACAATATACAATATTGATTTACCTGATACAGTTTTCCGGATCATTTTCACAATCAGTGTTGCAACGAAATCTTTCCCATGATAACCAGCCCATAGGAGGTGTGAGGGCCAGTCCATTATTCAATGAAACAACATAAGACGTCATTATAATGTTTATAAATAGAACACACTGCATTTTGGTATCTACAAAATAAAAATATTTAATTTAATTAAATAAGAATTTAATTAGAAAATAATTAACAAAATGGCGGAACTTTGAAAAGTTTTTTTTTTTTGAAAAATCGCCTATTTTTGACCACAAAGTTAAAAAATAAGGAAGATCTTCACCGATTGGTTCGTACGATAGCTATACACTCACAGAGAAACGTCCCAAAATTTGAAATCAATTGGGTTATTAGTTTTTGAGTTATCGTGCCCGCCATTCGAAAAAACGCTGTTTGGAGAAAAACACGTTTAAACTTTGAGAAGCCCTCTTGCTGTCACCTGATGCTAACACAATAAATCGGCTATATCTTCAAAAATTGTTGAGATTTTCACTTGAACATTTATAGGGACATTATTGAATTAGTGTAGGTTCAAATTAAATCAAAATAAAAAATTAAATTTTTTTGAAACCGAGGATAGGTGGGGTCCCCTTAAAAAAAACTTAACAGAACAATTTTTAATGTAATTTTTAAATGCTCAGTAAAACCCAATTAAACATAAGTTTCGCAATTATTTATCAGTCACAGAACTTTTAGTAAGCTAACATATACAAATTTAATTGGTTTTGTCGCCTTTAAAGTGTAAAATAATCAAAACTAGTTGTTGCGTATACAATAATATCAATTTTTTAAAATTTTCCTCAAAGCAAAGAAAAATTTAAAATAAAAACTATAATCGAAATATTGAATTTTAATCATGTGAAACATACGGAAATTTTAATGTGTCAAAACTATATGCAATTACATATGTATTTTTTCCGAATAGGACGCGCTCTATTTTCGTATGTGAAACATTAGGAAATCAGCTGTTTGAATAAAAGACACTGTTGGACGAAAATATTTCAATTGCAAGTCAAAGAAAAGTATGAAAAGGCAACGATTACAAATTATTATTTCGTTTGTAGGTGTTTAATAAAAAAAGATGTTGATTTAAGAAAAAAAATAAAAGTGTTTTTTTTGTTTATGTAAAATACATATGCCAATTTGAACACAAAAAATAAATGTTTTGTGTACGCTGCTAATTTTGACACACATAAGGAATTACATATGTATGAAAAAGTGACAGCACATATGTAAAATACATATCGTGTAAAAACACCATTATTTCTTAAGATATTTAGATAGTGGAAGTTGTGGTATTAATTAATGAAATAAAATTAAAAACAGTAAGGGTTGCGTTTTTTACATTAAGTTATAAAAAGGTTCGGGTTCAGACAAAAAATTTAAGTGAAATATTAAATTAAAAGGGAAAAGATTTGTTTCAACCTTTTTCCCATAATCTAGATAAGGTAATCATGTTACGATGTACAAAGTTTCGATAAAATTTGATACTACGTTCGCTTCATATGAAATGTACAAATTTTCAAAATTTTGGCCCTTTATGGGAGAGGATAATTCGCATTTTTCATCATTATTCAGTCATGGTTATAATATTAAGTCGTGTAAAGTTAAATTCAAATCGGATAGTCCGTTCGCGTGATATTAAAAAATTCATTTCCAGCAATTTTTTTTATAATTTTCTGGGGAAGGTTGCGGATGGAGTGGACCGATATTCCACATCTCGGAATTTGATTTGGAAATTGACTCCAAATTTTCTGAATCTAATTTGGTCCAAAGAAGCATGGGGTCTAAAATCAATATTTCCATGAGGCACATTTTTGCCGTATCTAAGTGGAGGTGCCGTTGTACGAGTATGGAGGCTACCCAATGAAAAACATGTTCAATATCCTCAAAATACCGAAAATCCAAATATCGAAATATTGATCATTTTTGGGACAAAAATATTATATGTCATATTATTGCAAATTCTGTTGAAAAGTGTCGATCCAAGACTGATCTAGGAATTCAATTAGATAATCGCATGGATTTTATATTAAATGTCATACAACGTAAAATAACTTCTGAGTTTATTTTGAATAGAATTCTTATAAATGTCCCTTTGAGGCCATCTCGAAACTATCAGCTACTACAAATAATATATTTTTCTTCTAACTATGCAAACAATGATCCCCTTCGCCGACTTTTTGTTGAATTTAAAAATTATACTATATTTTCGATCTTTCTGACAGTCGTGATATCGTAAAAAGATACAAGGTTGGCTACAGCAATTTAAAAATTAAATTTGTTTCTTATTGTGGCTTGTTATGTCAGTTACATATAAAAAATATGTGAATGTTTTGAACATTTTAAAAAACATATTTTAAAATTTCGTTTTTTTTACTTACGTAAGAAAGATACATGAGATGAATAAGTATCTTAAGTATATTCCCAACTCGATTTTGGAAAGAACAACTGGCATTCTATTCGTTTTTCGCGTGGATTACAGCGCGATCATTTCGTTGGTAAAAAAAAACTGTATATTTTTACATTCCATGACGCGGGCAATATGTTGTAAGTTCGAAAATAATAGATATTACAAAACTCTTAATAATGGTTTGAGACGTTGGGTTAGTTGCCCACACTCGGAAAACCCCTCGTACTTTGAAAAGGCAAAGAAAACCAAACCCCCCTAATGTTGACGACCTCCGCAGGTACACTCCAGTAGATGAGCGAATTGCTATAATCCGTATAAAAACGAAGTTCTTCTGCATCAGACTTATTTGTGCCCATGCTCCGACGGAAGATAAAGATGAACAGACCACAGACATATTTTTTAATGCAAAAATAAGAAGTGAACATATTTTGTCTCTACCGTTGGAAAATTTAGCCTCCATGAAGAAACATTCGACAACGGCATGAGGATGATTGACTTCGTGGCAGCAAAATACATGGGAGTTAGCAGCACCAGATTCAAGCATCTCGACATACACAAGGCCACCTGGATTTCTCCCGACCAAACAACGAGGAATCAAATTGATAATGTTGATGTTCGTGGAGCGAATATCGATTCGGACTACTACCTTATAGCAACCAAGGTTCATAGTCGTCTTAATGCAACATCAATGGTCCGATCTAATGTAACACAGAAACTCGAAGTCGAGAGCTACAAACACAAAGCAGAAGCCTACTCCGCTGAACTTTATCACCAGCTTGACGAAAACACTCCTTGTCCCCATAATAATATAGAAACAGAATAGCAAAGAATTGTCCACTCCTTACAAACTGCAGCAAAATCAACCATTATGTACCAAAGACCACCATCAAGAAACCCATGGTACGATCAGGAGTGTCGTAATGTTACTGAGTTAAAAAACGCAACCATGCAAACAGTAGCAACACGCAATGCGAGAGAGAATTATCGGGAGAAACGTATTTTCAGAAAAAAGAAGAAAGAACAAGAAAAACGCGAGCAAGAGCAAATCGAGATGTACAGGAGTCAGAGTGAGGTCCGGAAATTTTACCAATGAGTAAAACACAAAACCGAAGGCTTTGGTACAGGCACATCCTCCTGTAGAGATGATGAAGGAAACCTGGTGACAAATAAAGGCAGCGTGCTGAGGATCTGGAAGGAGCATTTTGAAAATCTTCTGGTATCAAATAGTGGCAGCGAAGAAGATACCGTAGAATCAATAAGAGATGATGAGCCAAGATAGGGTCAGAATAGCAATCAATGGGCTGAAGAATACTAAAGCAGCAGGTGCCCATGGGTTACCAGCCGAACTATTCAAGACTGGTGGTCAGATGTTGGTGAGGAGCATGCATCGGCTGATTAGTACAATTTGGCCAGAGGAATGCATGCCCAATGATGGGAATCTCAGCATCCTGTGTCCCTTGCACAAAAAAGGAGACAATATGGTGTGTGTCCATCGCATATAAAGTGCTATGTAGCGTGCCGTGTGAACGATTGAAGCTAATGGGCAATGAAATTATGCGGCTTCAGACCTGGCAAATCTACCATTGACCAAATTCCTGGAAAAGACCCACGAAAACACATCAACACATACCAGCTATTCGTCGACTATAAAGCCGCATTCGACAGTCCTATCCGTTCAGAGGTGTTTAAAGCCATGTCTACGTTCGGCATTCCTGCATACGAGACGCAAAGGTGAACAGAAATGGCACCCTGTACACCAAACAACACATGTTACTCGCCTACGCTGATGATATCGATATTATGTGTCGAAAATTGCGAGCGGTAACAGCCACCTTTGAACAAATTGAGAAGGAGTCTGGCAGTAAACGACGTCCAGTAGAATCGGACCAAGTCACAGTGGCGAAAAGGCTTATCTAGCGGCGTTTAATTAATAGCGCTTAGGGATTTTGGTTTTTATTTTTTGTAATATTTTTTTTTTTACTTGGAAATAGATTAAGCTACAAAGTTAAACAAAAAATTATATATATATATATATATATATATATTTTTTTGTGAAAGTTGATTTTTTTATTTTTTAAACATTGTACATTTGTTTCAGGAAAACAGGAAGTTAGTGATGCATTGGCTGAAATATATGTTGTGTTTGACAGCTCACAGTTGTTCAACTAGATCATATCAGAATAGAATCAATATATTAGTTCAGTGGGATAGTAGTAATCGATAGATACGCAATTTTGGCGCAATTAAACACTTTAAAAATTGAATTAAACGACGGTAGATCGGGATATTCGGGATATAACGAATGAGCAAAATAGTCGACTTTTTACACTGACTATCGCATATAACGAAAGTTTTCTAAATTTATATAATCTGTATAAGGAATAGCGCAAAAATAATGGGCAGCCTTATAAAAATCACATATAAACACGTTATTATCACTGTTACTACGTTAATTAATTCATTTCTATTACAAATCCAATGAAAAGCGGATTAACAGTTTTGTTTTTTTTTTTTTTTTTGACACTCGACTCAATTATAAAACCGACACAGACAACTGCGCTCAAATCTATAGACACACAGTAAACAAATACAAATCTGGTAGACTTTAGTTGAAATAAGAACGTTGACTTTAAGACAACATAACTTTCTTCAAGTAAGTTTATTTACATATTGTTATTGTTGTTTCAAAATCTGTTAAAATATATGTAATTGTAGTTC